GTGGACTGGAAAGCTGGGGTTGCTGCTGAATGATAATATTCCCTCCTACAAATGCTTCCCTGGTGATCCTGGCTGCATGGTCATATGTAGACAGCATTCAGATTTGCCACTACCCTGAAATGTTATTATGTCTACACAAAATGCCAATGTAATGCTGTGGAAATGTAGAATCAGGGATGCAATTCTCCTGCAAGTAGTGAGTTACATGTATTGCAGATAAACTTTTCTTTTTCCAAGGAGATTTTGCTTTCATTTAGCCACCATAATTGGCTGAACGTAAGCTTCTTAACTTTTTCTTGGAATGCAGAACTGGAATTTTGTGTTCATTTCAAGGCCCAAAGTCTTCAGCACTTCAGCTACACAATATGTGCTTCCCCTCGTAAGAGGGAGGGAGAAAAGGATATCGTTTTTTAACTGACATTTTGTTCTAAAATTCCCTTGTCCTTTTTCAGAGAACATCATCGCCCTTTTCATAGTACAGCTACCCCTTATTTGTAGGTGCAAATCTGTAAAATATGAGCAGTGTTCCAGATACGCTACACTCTAGCAAAAGTTTATTCTTAGATCTCTTAAGCTAAAACCTGTCTTAATCTGTGTGAAATATCCATGGGTAGACAGTTTAGACTCTGAATCTCAGAAGAAGAGTATGCTAAAAAGGAAATGATATGCCTCCAGAGCTGCCAGGTAACTGATTCTCTCTTAGTGAGACAGGTGTTTTTCCCAGACATAAAAAGGTGGTGTCACTGCCAATGGGAGGACCAAATGGAGAGATTTGCAAGGAAAGATTAAAGAAAACTATATCCAGCTCAGCTAAATACAGAAAGATCCATCTGTAATTGACAGGTGTCAGCCCCAAAATGTCAGTATTTAGAACTGCAAAAGCAAAAATACCTAGGAATGGCATAAGAAAAATTTTTTAAGTAGTCAAAATAAAGACATTAAATAGCAATGAATAATGTTAGACCAAGGAGTAGTTCCATACAGAGAGGGAGTGAAGCATGACAATTGCAGCTTAGGTTTGCTGGGTGGATTGGAATTCCTTGGATTTGTAAATGAATAGGCCAAAAATGCTAAAAAGGATGCATTTTAATGCCTGGATCAATCATGTGTTGCAGATTGATGACAGGAATGATCCCTTCTGACTCTTCAATCTCTTTGTGCCCCATGCACTTTAACTGAGGCTCACTGTGATCTTATCTATGGAAAGTATTATGTTCATGGGAATCTGAACTGTGAAATTATGAGGTCTGCTCTAAGGATCTTATATATACCACTTCATCATAGATATTATTGACAGTAAGTGCTTTTAGCACTTTTATACATTCTCACTGTGAGTTGTTTTGCAGCAAGGCAGCCAAATCAAGATAATTTTTCCTGACCAGCTGAGCAGCAAGCACTTAGGTGAACTCAATGCACAAGGATGTTAAAAGGGTGGGTTAGGACAAAAGTGGTGTCAAAACATAACCCTCTGCTCTTTCCATCACCTCAAAGGTTACCTCCCACATATAAAATGACTTGTTTTTTGAACCCCACTTTTCCTTAATTCTTTTTTTTCCGAAAGTCCATCTGGTCTTTTTCAGGATTCATTTCCCCACTTCTGATCTTCTGCTTTTGTCTCCCATTTCCCTCCCTTGCTCTCTGTACATCATTATTCTTTTTCAGTCTGAGTCATTATCCTTTTAAATTCTCCCAAGAGGGGCTTTTTTTCTCAGTCATGCTACTTCTTAGTCAAGTGGTACCTGTAGGAAGATCAGAATAACCCATGCCAGGAAGAGCTCTGTGAGTGGTGATGCCTATAAGGCAAACATGTAAGTTGTATTGTTTGTTAACCGTGAGTTCATTTTTATCCCTTATTCCCTGGCTCTTTAGATAGACATAAACCTCCACTGGGAGGAAAGAAAGAGCATTCGTGACCATTTTCAGAGCCTGAAGATTAAAACTGACCCAGTCCTGCATTTGTGTGTGCACTTTGAAAAGAAATGTTCTTTATCCTCTTTATCCTGTGAGTCATGTGGAGTCCACAGATAATATGACTCCCTTTCTGCTCCAAAATCTGCACAAATCCTCCCACTACCATGCCTACAGGTGGAAATAGGAAATATTCCCTTGCCAGGCCTGCAGTAAAAAGCAATGCATCTCAAACACAATCGTTTCTTGTACACTGCATCTTGTGAGCAAGCAGACGGTGTGGCTTGCTTCAGTGACTTTTATATGTAAACAGTCTTTAAAAACATAATCTACACTGTCAAAGCCTAATCTAAATGATGTACTGACATTGCGTACTTTGATATGCTGACTTGGTTTTGAATTCTCTCTGGATTGCCTGTCCCCAGATGGCCTTTTTGTGTTTTGTTTACTTTTCACTTAGCTGTCATGTATTTATTCCCATTAGATGTACAAAGTCAATGGATTCTGCCTAGATTTACAGCTTAGTTGGCTAATACAGCATAGGGAAAGCACTGAGTGAAGCCAAGGAGAGGGTCAGGAAAAAAACAGGTCTGACCAACAAAAACAGAAAACTTGTAAAAGATCTGGGTCTGGTAGAGCAGGTAGAGATTATGATTTTTTCAGAAAAACATGATTTGACTGGTGGGTAGAGATGATTATTTTTTTCAGAAAAACATGATTTGACTGGAAAGTAGCAATTCAGTGAAATGGGGAATGAATTGTTTAGGATGACTTTCTGTTTTTAAAGGCTTGCTTCTGAATAAATGCTGAAATTCTGTATATATCCCTTATATTTAAGTAAAAGTAACTACATAAATAAAGCTGTATTTGTTTCAAATGTGAATGTCTAGCATGATTATTTTTTTCAGAAAAACATGATTTGACTGGAAAGTAGCAATTCAGTGAAATGGGGAATGAATTGTTTAGGATGACTTTCTGTTTTTAAAGGCTTGCTTCTGAATAAATGCTGAAATTCTGTATATATCCCTTATATTTAAGTAAAAGTAACTACATAAATAAAGCTGTATTTGTTTCAAATGTGAATGTCTAGCAAAATGTTACTTTAAAAGCTCTTCAGTACAATGACCTGGTTGGATTTATCTTAGTCAAACAGTTAAAATGGCTTATACGGTCTTGCTGTATGAAAGCCTTTGAAGATTTGTGAAAACGCTTCACGCTGAGAAAAATAATCGCAAAATATCTAGTTGGCATGATCTTGCCCACTCTCATGCACAGAGCCCAGAAGACAAATGGGTGTTCATGAAATCTATCACAGCTTGAAGCATGACTAAAATGTGGACCATCTTAAACTGTGCTCTTCCATCTGGATCACCACGCCTACCCTCCCATGCTTCTCCAAATGTGAATGCCAACCTTCCCTCTAACTGGTTGTTTTTATGGCTCAAAGAAAAACAACGGGGGATTTAATGTAGAATTTAGCATTGGTGGAGGGACCCTGATGTTTCCTTTGTTTCCTGAGGAGGGACAGTCCAGGTTTCCTGCACGGTGCTATTTAACAGCTATCACACTATTTTTAAGTCACGTTTCTTCCATTTCAGCAGAGGTACTTGGCAAAGCCCTGCGTGGCACTAGTGACTGTGCACCTTCTGTGCTGGAGGCTCTTGAACATCCAAATTCCACCTTCTTTAAAAAACAGACTGTGCTGAAACTGCCATATTTTTAGGTGCACTGACCTCCTTTGGGACTTGACAGTCCGTAGTCTGAGCCTTTCCTCTGTTTCCTGCAGGTGAAATATGGAAACTATGCGTTTGTGTGGGACGCAGCGGTGCTGGAGTACGTGGCCATCAACGATGCAGAGTGCTCGTTTTACACAGTTGGGAACACTGTGGCAGACAGAGGGTATGGGATCGCACTGCAGCATGGCAGCCCTTACCGAGATGTTTTCTCACAAAGGTAAGGGTTTGGAGTAGGAGGAAGGTTTCTCTCAGATCTGGACCTTTATTTTCATTTAATTGTTGGTGAAGAAAAAGCATCTTGTATTTGCAATCCACTTCATTTCTTACATAGACATTCATTTCCTTGGAGACACTCATTTTTCTAGAAACTGCCTTAAAAACACTTCGTGTTGCTCTTATTTGGATTGTTCTCGTTCCTTTTGAAAAACATTAATGAGATAGACTGAACTTCATTAGCAGGAGAATGAGGAAAGACTTGATTCATTTGTTATATAGAGTCAGCATAACTCAATCCTTCCTGTTACTGAGGAAAGAAAGTAAGCTTGGACACTGATGAGTGTCAAAGGGGATGAACAAGAACATGTGATGCTTCAGTGAAAAGACCCCTGTTAGTACCCAAAAGCATAGATGCTTATCCCAATACTAATCAATCTCTTGGTCTGCAAAAATGGCATCTCCAGCCAACACTGGCACCGTGTTTCTATTAGGATTCATTTCATGTATTGTGCCTTTGCAGTATTTGTGCTTCAGTCTAGTGTTGACTCCTGAATCAGGATGTGTGTGAAATGTAAAAAAAAACAACCAAACTTTTAAAAAGTGTAATACCTGCAGTCTGGTGTTTAGGAGTAGATATGGGCTAATGTCATGATCCTTTTTCATTCTCAATCTGTTGTCGCAACCTGGTTTCTCTTGGTTTGTGTTAAATGCATGTAACAAAATTTTACAGTTGCTGTGATGAAATTTATTTCATGTGGTTACCATAATGTCTGTGAATATACAAATATGCTTCATTCAGGCCTTTGCCTTCAATCCATAGAATGAGGTAGGGGGAAAACTAGCCAGTAAGTAACAGTATGCAGATTCAGAAGAATCACTCTCTGCTCACACATGATCAGACGACTTGAATTCTTTGAATCTGTTCTATGCTGGGAGTGATATGGCTTAATTTTGTGCTAACATAGCAGTAACATAATAAAATAATTCACAGGATCAACGAAAAAATTTAATTTCAATGAAACACGTGCTTTATGTATTACAATGAGCATTATAGGCAAATATTAACTGAATACTTTAATACTTTCATATTCCAGCTATGCCCTGGCTGGCTCTGCTAAAATTCTCTGGCACTGTACCATTTGGTGTCTCCATGCAAAACAGAGGAGTAAAATGTCTTCCTGCAATCTTTCTATGAATATTCCAGCTGTTAGAGATCTCAGGTGCTTGTCAAGGTGTGAAGTCATCTTCTTCACAGCGTGAAGCATGTAAGCTTGAGTACAAAAATTTGAAGACATTAGGTAGTTTCATAACCTGTGTCTTTACTACTAAAGACAGTGAACCTTCCAAGTGGCATGGCATGGCTCACCTCTGCACAGATGAGCATTCCTCATACCCACCATGGCTGCTGTCCAAGTCAGGGTGGATGTATCCAAACTGCCCCTTAGAGAATGTATCTGGCATTCTTTATATTCTGCTTATAGTTCTTGGTAGACGGGGAAAATGGTTATGGCTGGTTTGGGTAAGTGAGCATCATCTTTGTCGTGATATTCAGTACCTGGAGAGGCTGGATTACATCTTTTTTCTGATACACTGCCTTAAGCAGCTTCTAAATCATTGGGCTGTGCAGGCCTGGCATTTCCAAGTACAATTTCATTTCCTAACAAAATTTCAGCTTTTCAGTGTATTATATCTTGAAGCTATAGGAAAGCATAAAAATTTGCACATATATAGGTCTTTTTATCTGAGGATCTCTGAAGCAATATTTAAATATTAGCATCTCTCTGTGGAAAGTAAATGCCATTTTCATTTATTGCTTAGGGAATCCATAGAATCAGGAGACTTCAATGAATTCCAAAGGTCATATGTTGTCCCCTGGTAGAATCAGGGATCATAGGCACTCAGATTTCCTCATTTTCAGTTTTCTGCTATCAGATATCAGATTTCAGGTAGATAAAGAAAGGGATTATTTGTGAGCTATTGGGCCACAGGAGGATCTGGATGGATATGCAGAACTTAGCACTGGTGAGAAAGTAACTCATTACATTATCAAAACTAATGGTTGAACAGAGAAATTGGAATTTGCTTTGAGTGATGGAGAATTTAGAGAGCCTGAGATATATATTCTGAAAATGTGTGTGCTGCCCTTTATGTTTCCATATTATGAGAGCATTTCTAATTATGTCCATAAATATAAATTTACAGTTTAAAGCAGTGAAACACCATATAAGAAACAAACATATGAAAGAGAAAGTATGCTTAACAGGTAGCTTGCAAGGCAGATTACAGGGTTTTGTTCTAAACACCATTCCATACTGTTCCTTATGTTTACTTCTAGCATCCTTACTTTTCTTCCTCATGAAAAGGCTGAACAACCTTCTGCAACTGCAGCCTGCATGCTAAATACAAGAGTGAAATAGATTTCACTGTATAGGATTAACAAATGTTCACACAAATATTTCACAGTCTTTAATGCGGCAGGGAACTGGTTTAAAATATATTGGCATTTCTTGATCTTTCCCAAAATAAATATATTTATGTGAAAATACAGGGCTTCTCTTTTATGAAATTTCTTATAAACCCATAAGCTGCACGGAGTTAAATCCCTAGGGTCCAACTGTAAAAGGTCTGGCAAGCTTACATGAGATTTTATTTTCTGTGCAGGAAGCCTGGGCATGAGTTTAATGCTTTTCAGTCCCTTCTCTGAACATTCAGGTGATTCCCAGTGAAAAAGAGGTGTAAACACACTCCTGTTCTCTCCAATGCTGTGGGGCATGAGTTGCAGTCAAGGTAACACTGTGGTAAAGTTTAGGCATTTGGGATTTCTGAAAGTACTTTGTGTTTGGGATGTCCTCTATGTTGTTCTCCAGGGGATTAACTCGTGCAAGACACATGACCTTTGGGGATTCACCTGCTCTGTGAAGCATTCAGGCTCTGCTGGAGTTTACCCATCAGTTAGGCTCCTTGATGCCTTTGCATTAAACCTGTAATCTGTTGGAAATGCTGACGTGCCTTTACAAAACGTCCAGGGCATTGCAAAAGTTAAATTCCCTGATTTAATTTCCTCCCACAACTGACCATGCTGGAGTGCTCCTTTGGACCACGGGCAGTTTGGGAGGTACTAGAAAGAAGCCTGAAGCAACCAAGAACTTAGTGAGCCCCAGTGGTGTTCCTAGTAGCCATGTGTGGGATGTGGGACTGCAGCTGATGACCACCTGGTTGTCTGGTACCCAGGGCACTGAGGAAGCACACAAGCTGCAGTGCCCAGAGCAGACTGCAGAGCTGTTTCAGCTGCCAGCTGTCCTCACTCCCAGCCTCAAACTGCCACCACCAGCAGCTGCATACACTGCCTGTGTACTGCGTGGGATGTGTTCCTGCCAGTATGGAACGAGCCTCCAATTACCAAGGAATCAGAAAGTGAAAATGCTTATATTAGGCTACAGCTAAATTATCACAAAAGTTTCCATATATACTTGATTTTAAATTGATGCAATTAAGCAGGTATTGTACAGGAGTGTGCTGGCATTGAGGTACACTTGCTTGCATTGGTTGATAATTGTGTTTATAACTTTATAAGGTGATGTCTGTCCCCTTCAGAGAGAAAAGGGAGGGCTCACATGTATTTGAACTGATGCAATTTCAAATCAGAGTTATTCTTGCACATGCAAGTTTAGGTATAGTGAAATATTAGCAGAGAATGTGGCAAAATCCACATTGCTTAGAAACTTCATGTACCTTTCCTGGGCTTTTAAAACATTGATTCCAGCCACACCATAGAAGACACAACCCTGTCCAGGGTTATTCTTTCCAGAGTCTGGGAAATCTAAAATTTTGGGAATGAACAAAATGTTCTTGATGAGAAAAGTTATATTGTTCAAAGTTGAATATCAATATGCCTTTAAAAAAGCATTTTATGCAGGTATGGTTTAGTGAAGGAGAAAGATAACCAACAGAAAGCACTGTAAAGAAACTGGTATTCATTTGAGACCTTTCTTTTTCACATGCAGAAAATTTCTTTTAGGCCACAACAAAGATCTGAGCGGCACTGAGTGGTCTGACTGCAGAATGAGATTGGCTTTTTGCTGGATGGGGATGGCAAAGTGGCCAGCTGGGGTCCCACACAGCACCCCTGACCACTCTCTGCCTAATGCTTTGGCTGAAAACAGGTGCTTTGAATCCATTCTGAAAATAGGTGCATAACATAAATAATATAGGAAATAATCTGGGTAACATTTGAAAGATGACCCTGTCATAGCATCCTGATGACTTCATTCTCATTGTTGCAGATCTTAACTAACACAACTGGTCATGCCAGTAGGCAGCCAGTTGTGCTCAGGTAGATTACTGTCCTCTTTTCTTTGCCACTAAGACTTAACCTTCTGAGCACCTGCAGCCTGCGTCAGTTTAATTTTTATTTTTTTTACTTTTAAGGTAGTGACAGGGGCTTTAATAATAGGAACTGCTAGCTTTCCTAGGAGAGCTTGAAAAGGATGTGTCATTTACTTCATGAGGAATTGTATGCTGACACTAAATTTGACACCTGTTAAGAATTCTCTTCAATCCTTCAACTTTAAATCTTCCATTGCATCCCTGGGAGGTATAAATATAATTGCAAATGCTTTTCAGAGTATTTCATAGGATGTCTGTGCTTCCTGCAGTGCTGCAGCAATGGCTCAGACACTGCCCTGGTGGCAGGCTTTGGTGGGGGTCAGGGAGGGGTGGCATCAAAGCACTCGGGTCCCGTTCATGTCCCCACATTCTCTGCTGGCTAACTCTCTTCTTCTGCACTACAGTCCTGGCCACACAGCATGTGAGAGACAGAGGGAGAAGAAACACTAATTCCATACTCAGCAGAGGCCAGCAGCCAGCTTTTCACTAAAGGAACTAGAAATTGTCAATAGCCAGTACTGCTGAAAAATCAAGCTGTAGTTGTTTTGCACTTCCCATATCCCCAGAGAATCCATGTGCATCCTGCCTCAAAGACTTCACTTTTAAGTAAAAAGAAATA